GCAGTTGGGATGTGATGTTTAGGGACCATAGGGACACCCACCCGTGCAATCTCTTTGCTGAGTGTCTCCATTTAAAAAAAAATAATGAATTTAGTCCTGAGTTATTGCTTTGACACACTAGCTTAGTGCTAAATCAACTCCCCACGGGGAAAATAAAAATAATTTTAAAATTGCTATGAGATAGAAACAACCCTGATGAAATACAGAAGACAGCATATGTTTCTGTTGTACATGTGTTTCTGTGTACATTCTGATGATGTTTGTAAAGCTGCCACTTTTTCTTTAACACTGTGGAGCCACTCTTTAAAAATCAAGTGACTTCATAGTGAACCATAAAAGGATTGTCAGAGGCGGGAACAGGAAAGGAAGGTGGAGTGTGGACTGAAAGGCAGATGACACTGTATCCATGTATAGACACTAGCTCTGAATCAATCTGGATTACAGTGGGGTCTTGACTTGAGAATTTAATCCGTATTGGAAGGCGGTTCTCAAGTCAAAAAGTCTGTAGGTCAAGTCTCCATTGACCTACAGTGCATTGAAAACCGATTAATCCCGTAACAGGCCGTTTTTGTTCCATTTTGGGTTTTTTTCTGGTCTGTAAATCAAATCTCAGTCTGCAAGTCAAACCTAAATTTTGCGGCCAGAGAAGTCTGTAACTCAAAAAGTCTGTAAATCAAGCCGTCTGTAAGTCAAGGGTCCACTGTACTAAAAGCTAACTGAAGTGGAAGATAGGCTGTGAATCAAACCGAAGAAAAGCCAAATAATTCTGATTAGGCTTCTCAGTGTATTTGCAGCCTCACATAGGTGTTGAATCAGCAGAGTACCACTGATTTGGTCCATCCACTCAAATTGGGAGTAACTGTTGGATTTGGGTCCTTGTGATTCTTAGAGCAGTCCTAACAAAATGAATTATTTTTGCAGCACATCCTAATTGTATAAGATTCTGATCTCTTAGATGGGTTATGCTAAACAAATATCTCCTTTGTTGGCACTTTGAACATAGGACAGTACATCCAAAAGGGGAATTAAATGATCTCCTATATCTTACAGTGTTGCTGAACTGTAATTCCCGCAATCTTTTATCGCAGGCTATGCCATTGATAGGAGCTGCAGTTTAACAACATGTCAAGGACCACATATTGCCCACATATCATTTAAAATACAGTCACAGGCACAGAAGAAAAATTCAGAGGAATAATCTGAATCAAGATTCAAAACCTAATATCCTGCCTATATACTCATACTGTTAATAAGAAATTGCAGGATGGGTGGGTGGTGGAAAGATTTCTCCTTCCTGACAATAGAGGTTCACAATTTAGTGGGAAGAAAAAATAACATCAACTTGTATTTTTAAAACCAAACCCATAAAGTTTTACAACACACAAGTTCACAGGGTGAATATCCATATAACATGTTTGGGTCTCCTTGCCTAATCGCAGGTGAGTAATCAGTCACTAGGCTTGCATAGATGAGCATTTAAAAATGGTTCTATGGTGTCCACACTGTATATAATTTCCAAAACAAACACAGATCCAGTGGTTCCTGGTGGCCACCGGGACTGCTTGGGCAGAGAGGTCAACAGAAGGGAAGCTGTTGAGTGAGTAGCTGGGACAAACTCATTCAGTTTTTTTCTCCTGCCTTCCTATACAATTCCACTACCGCACAACTCCTTCATATTTAATGAGAAACAGAACGGAAGAATGGACTCTTTGATTAGCTCACTAGGCTTCCACCGGGTCATACTACCTCCTCTGCTGATAAAAAAAGTGTGGCCTGTACCCCCCCCTTTCTAGGCACCGTGTGGAGGGGGAAAGTGCTTTACTTGCCCTAATGGATCAGCTTCCACTGAGCCTATCACCAACATGGACATATCAAAGATGACATTCCCACCTGAACTACACGGGCCATCGCTCTGCTATAAATTACAGGGCCATGTACCTCAGACTCAGATCTTAAGTCTGGCTAAATTTTCTTTTTTGGGGGGAAAGGCTGCCTTTTTGGACAATTTCTAGAATCTCTCAGACAGCATGGCCACTAGAAGATTAGGCTTGTGGGTTATGCGTTGTCAGATCAGAACTGGCTTAACAGTGACTCCAATAGGGCTTGAAGGTAAATGAGATATTTAAGGAATGGTTTTACCAGTTCCACGCATGGCCGAGTGGGGATTTGAACCCAGGTCTCCCAAGTCCTAATACATCACTCTGTGCAGTACACCACACTGGGTAACTGGAAATGTAGTCCAAAAAAACAAACAAACAAAAACTAACACTTCCAAGTTGTCTACAGAATTAGTCAACAGTCCCTAAAGCTCGCAAGAGATACACACTTCTTCCCTGTATGTGATTGCGTTAAACAAACAAATAAATGAGGTGACTTTGTACTTATTCCTGGACAACCGATTCTGTAAAAAGGCGATACAGTCCTGATGTTTAAAGGACCCATACTTTTCTGTCTCTTTAAGCTCTTTACAAGTTTATCATATCATGTGCACTGCTTGAGATCTATAAACCCACTGTCCTCATACTTAAAAAGAACATAATGAGATTAGATTGGGAGCCAGCAAATGAACAGTTTCTCAATGGATGTTCTAAATTGTAATTAGAACAATGTCATTGTTATTAGGCTTCCATTTTTCTAATAAACCCAGAGAATGCAGTTATTTTTCTTTCTGCATCAGCCAAATAATTAACTTCTTTCAGCATATACTTCACAATGGTAACAATTAAAAATTATAATGATTAAAGGATTGTAGAAACATATTAACACTATGTTTCTCACAGTATCATACAATTATATGAGCAAATCTAGAAATTAATCACTAAAAAGATTGTGATGAATAATAAATAAGTGAAAAAGACCTGACTTTATGTGATTTGGGGCTGAAGATGATTTGCTTGTGAATTCTATAGTCACTTGATCACATTCAAGATAGAGAAAGACACTACAAAATACTGATAATAGGAAAATATGAAATTACAGATACACATGAACAACTGTAACAATTCATAGATGAACAACCATGACTAGCATCGTGCAACAAAGTGGGAATGCTTTAAATCTGATCACTCAAAATGGTACATGCATTGTAACAATCAAGACTGCTAACATATTTAATTGCCAAGTTTCCAAGCCATGGTTTGCAGCAGCATCGTTCCCACAATCTACAGACCTGTAAGGCTGTCACATAAGCACAGTTCAAATCAATAGAAATAATCCAGAATAAAAGGTTGGAAGGCTGTGATTTCACATCAACATCAAGGGCAAATAGCAGATTCTAATCTTTCATTGGCAGCAGCAGAAAAAGTGAACTTAACTGTGAAGGGTTGAAATCTGTTACTGACTTTTAACAAAGCCATGTTTTACCCACTCAGCTTGACTGATACAAGATATTATTCTTTTAAAATACATTTTTTTAAAAAAAAACATTATTTTAGTTTGTATTCTTGGGAGAAGCCATTCTGAAAGGCTCAATACCAGTTCTATCTATTTTTATTTACTTACCTTCCAAAATTTTTGAAACTTATTTTTAGCAGTGGGAGACAGAATTCCAGAGGTTTTCCTTTACAGGAGGTATGAACAAAATGTGGCATTCCAGGTGGTTTTGGAGCGCAAGTCCCATCATAGTACATACATCACAGTGAAAGATCCTTAGGAATGTCCCAGAAACATAAGGAATATATTTTCATTTGTAAAGAGGTACTGTAGTGGAGTCAACCCAGAGTGCTCACTAGAAGGACAGATCCTGAAGTTGAGGCTCCAGTTCTTTGGCCATCTCATGAGAAGAGGAGACCCCTTGGAAAAGCCCCTGATGTTGGGAAAATGTGAAGGCAGGAGGAGAAGGGGACAACAGAGGATGAAATGGTTGGACAGTGTCATCGAAGCTACCAACATGACTTTGACCAAACTCCAGGAGGCAGTGGAAGACAGGAGGGCCTGGCGTGCTCTGGTCCATGGGGTCATGAAGAATCGGACACGACTTAATGACTAAACAACAACAACTGTAGTGGAGAAAAGTCTGTGAAGTTAAGCATGCTCTGTATTCAACGATTGGCTCTTGGGGGTTCTTTAAATCAATTTGCCCTAACATTTCTGTTCATTGTCCCTTCTCCTCTAGGCAGATCATTGGGGGCGGATGTAGTATATGGCTCTGAATGCTAAAATGCCTTCCCCAAAGTGCACCACATCTGATGAAAAGCAGCAGCAAAACATTAAGCAGCATTCATGAAGCAACAGCCATGTAACTGTGCAGAGATTTTTTTGATCGGTCAAGTTGAGATGAGATTTTTGCCGCTAGGAAAAAATGGTTCTGAAAGGGGCACTTCTCAATGATGGTTACTATTTTCTGGCAGTAAAGATCCTATTCCACTGGTGATGGTAGCCAGAAAAGGGCAGTCTGCATTAAAGCATGCCAAGGATTTAGGCTATGCCCAGTTTAAGGGGCTCATAATAATCCCTAGGTACACCATTCTACAGAAAGAGGACACCATTGCTGATTATCTAAGACCCAACTGCTAGTAAGTATTGTCTCTTTATTGTTCAATGAAATAAAACCCAAACTCTGGAATCCTGTCATAACACAGATGATACATTTGCATGCAGTGCTCTGTCTTAACACCAGAAAAGTGTTACATAATCTGAGCAAAATTTGCCCCCCTGCATTCAGCTATTTGGGACCTGCAGAACTTTTAAATTCAGTGTGAAGAGACAGTTGCTGAACCCCCAGATAAGCACTCAAAAATGAATTTCAATGATCTGAAGGTCAACAGCTTATATGTTATTTTGACTCAATTTTACTAAAAGTATATGATTTCTTCCTCTAAAATTGATATTCAGCCACCTGAGCTCTTTAACGCACTCACGAGTTGGTAAAGTTCTTTCAACAAGGAAAATATGATTGATTGTTACAGTGACAGTAATTGCATTCTAGCAAAAGTAACTATTATGATAATTTTCTCTAGAAAAAGAGACATTTAACTAACCTAAAAAGCATGCTGCTGCATAACACATTAACACAAAAGATTTTTCTCAAGTATTCATAGATGTAACAGGCAGTCCAAAGTGTTTTTCAGACAATGTATCCCATGATACATTATACTATGAGGAACGCTAAGAAGAATAGTAGATGGTCAGTTTTTTCAGGACCCTCTCTTTACAAGTCTTTCCTCCACAAGTCGCTGGACACACCTTCATAGGTCCATGGCATTTGCTCAGCAGCACCTGGTGAGGGAATATCAGGGCAACATTACCTCTAGGCAAGGTGGGGCAATTGCCTCAGGTGACTGGTGCTGTAGGACTGCAGCAGCATTTCCCTGATTGTTTTTCCTTAGCCTCCTAGCTATTCTCCTCTCTTGCAGGACAGAGCTGTGGGTATCACATAACCTGTCCTCATACCCTAAACCAGCCTGGTGATTCTATGCTCACAGTTGAACATTTTGAGGCTAATCACCATACACACTAAGATTAAGAATGACTTTAAAAATCACCATACACACTAACTGTGGTGCATCAAGGACACAAGATGCCTCTACCAGAAAGGAGGAGGATGAACCATCCCCTCAAATGCCCACTACAGAGGGATATAAGGCTGTTTACACTGTGTTACCCGTGATGACCCACTTAGGAGTGCAGGAGAAAAATAGCGGGAAAGTGGAGGAGAAAGAGCAGGAAAGCAACAGTCGGGGTGGATGCCCCAGTAGCAGAAGGGTATCTGGTGGCTGTGGTGGAGGAAGGGATAAAAGGAGAGGTGAACCAGGAAGCAGAGGCAGAGCAGGAGAAGGAAAATAAGTGGTGAAAAGGAGGAAGATATACCCTTAGGATGGGGAAGGTTGGAAATGGAGGATCCCTGGACTCGAGAGAGGGTCAAGATGAAACTGCCCCTTGAGGAAGTAGAAAGGAGGCAGCAATGCCATACAGCCAGTCAACCTGAGGTTAAGAAAGAGAGAGGGAGAGGAGAAGCTCTGAGAAAAGTGACAGAAGGGATAGCTGTACAATTAGGAGAAGCAGAACGGATAGAATGGACCATTTACATGTACGCAAAAGGGAAGATCTTTGGAAGAAGGGGTCAGGCTGGTACCGACCAGTCAACCCATGACATCCATGGAAGGGGAGTGGGCTTGACACCCCTGTTGTGGGCCCATCTGCCCCAGCCTGTGGAACCGAACAAGGAAAGAGACCGATCACGAGCGCTTTGTGGTGAACCCTTGTTGGGGAATTCCTTTGTTATGTCAGAGTTAAAGGACTGTTGGTCTAGAACGAACACGTTGGACGGACCAGTTGGTCCTACTGAAGTTATTGTTTGCAATTCTCCGTTGTCAGTTAATAAAACATTTATGCATCCTAAAGAATTGTCACTCCTTTTTGGGGTTCCAAAGGGAGGATGGAGAGAACCCAAGCTTGAACCCACTCACATATGTCTATGGTGATTTCTTGAGATAACTCACCTCCAAAAGTTGTATTGCTGACATTATGTCTGTAGAGGTACCTACCATGATTTGGGGCTTTGCATGATTGGCTCTATCAGGAAAAGACATATTTCAGCAGTTTACTCTAATCACTAAAGAATTATTGCTAATTAGAGGCTTTCAGGTCACCTCCCACAAGAAGCAAGTGGTGCAGATGGCTTCCCCACCACCTCCCCATCTCTTAACCGGCAACTGTTCTATTGTAGCTATTATTCACTGAGGACAATAGCTGTGACTCTCATTTCTGCTTCTTTCTGACAGCTTCAAATATCTATTTGTACCTTCACTCAAGAGGACAAGGTACAGTGAAAATTATGGAGAAAATATTGTGGCTTCTCATACTCCATAACCCTTCTGGTGGAATACAGCTGATCGTGCAATGTGCTTACTAAGGGCAAAACTTGGAGCTATGTACCAACTCATCATCATCATCATCATCATGGGCCTTCAAGTCAATTCCGACTGATGGCAATCCTTTTCAGGGTTTCCTAGGTGGAGAATCCTCAGAAGTGGTTTACCATTCCCTTCTTCTGGGGTCACCCTGGAACTGTGCAGCTTGCCCAAGTCTACACAGGCTGGCTCTATTCACAGGAGGCACAATGGGGAATCAAACTCCCAACCTCTGGTTCTGTTGCTAGTTACTTAAACCACTGACCTATCTAGCTAGCTATACCAGCTTATAGGGGTGGAAGTCCATATGCAGGACTTCCTTGATTAGGGGAAAAATTTAAATGACAACTTCCTCTAATTTTTTTATATTGATGTGGTTTCCTTAGAGGTCCAGCTGGAGCTGGCTAGAAGAAGTTGGACTGTTTTGCACTATGAATCAATAGTATTGTGTCACTACTGAATAGTTGTTTTGCTTATTTCTACATTGCCATTAAAAAAAAGAAATCTCTAACATTATGTTGTTCAGCAAAGACAGACTTTCCAGACAACACTGATGTCTATCTCTTATCACATTTCAAAAAGAGGGGAAATTCCCAGCATTCCCACATTTTGAGTGGGGATGAAGGTGGGGAGTGATCTGTGTTTTTAACTTAGTTTTTCATGACGGGTGGAGCTGAGGTTTGTTATTTTCCTTCCCCTTCTCTCTTATCATCCTCTTTTCTTTTATGTTGTGTCTTTTAAAACTGTAAATCTGAAGGCAGAAACTGCTATGACTTTATTTTATTTTTTTAAAAAAATACTTTTGTTTTAAAAAGTGAGCCGCTATGACTGTTTTTCCATATTTAGATTTGTGTGTAAATAATATGAATATATATATAAAATAAATGTAAAGAAACAATAGAGAATTTTAAATAGACATAATTACATTCATAATAATATAAGTGCTGGTTCTGGGTGGATTTGGGAGGAAGACAAAGTCAGGAGGGTCCATGGGGTAACATCCTAATGTATTTACTATATGTAATTATTAAAGACACACTGGCTGAAATCCTGTTGTGCTGTTATGGAGGCAGCTAACTTATAGAGATGGATTTCCGTAAGTTAAGAAATCTCCATAGAACTTATCTGTGTTACAAAGGTAGACACTACATGCACAAATTACATGAATTAGACTCCGCGCACTAAGTTGTATGGCTCAGTATCTAGCAGATAACGACTACAGAGATTTCTTAACTTATGTCCATTCACTTCCAAATGGTATGCTGTTTATGTAACAGCGCAAACGAATTTCGGTCCCTGTGTTACGAAAATGGGCACTATATGCACCAATTATATGAATTAGACTCCCCATAAATCAAACATCCCTGTGGCCGCTCTTGGGCACAGTGATGATGGCAGTAGGTATTTGCATTCCGCCGAAAGAAGAGGAGAAACACGAGAAAAAAACTGCACACACCCTTATCCATGAGAAGGGGCTGGAGCTGTTCAGTGTATAACTTCATTCCCCTTTCCCTTTTTCGTGACCTTCAACCTTAATGTCTGAAACAAGAGCATATGGGAAAGTTAACAATATGGAGGAAAGTATATAATCATACAGCACAGAGACAGCTATTTGTCGCACAGGGACAGTCATTCCACTGATGGACTGCCCTGTAAATCATAATAATGTTCATAAGATAGCAATGAAGGTGCATTAGCATTTAATTTCATGGATTGCTTCTGGGCATCACCTGAATACTAATTAGTAACTAACCCAATGAAAAGGATGTGATGCTGCACATCTTCAGCAAATCCTTCCTCACTGTCTTCTGGCAACATCAATAATACAATTTGCAAGGCAAGGGCTTTTTAAAAATGGGCTTTTAAAAGTGGAGTGGTGTTGATGGGTATGTAGGGGGTTTTATTTGCTTGCTTGTTTCACATGAGAAGTGAAAAGAGAAAGAGAGAGCAGGGGGAAAACACGTTTTTAATTTTTGAAGTGTCATTATGGAGCGATAAATTTTACCTAACATTAGCTGAGAAGAGCATTCATTTCTAATCCTTTATTTCTGATTCTTCAAGCAAAGCTCTAAAGAAATCAGCCTACAGTATTTTGAGAAAAGTACTGGCTTATTTATCTATTTAAAACTAACCACCAAATCTAATGTTTTAGGGAGTTCAACGTCTGTTGTTTGTTCCAACTTTCTTTTCTTTTCTTTCTTTACTCACAGTAGAGTGTTGCTCAATTTAAAATTATGGACATATATGAAGCATTTGTTCACACAAATTAAAAATGTTCTTTCTTCATTCTTATCAAAGCATTGTGCAATTCAAAATTATGGACCCACATGAAATATAGACAGAATCAAAAACAATGAAAACATCACTAACAATCAGACTAATTTTGACAGAAATGGTCAGACCTTGACTTCAGCCGTTGTCCAGGGGGTTGGTGTCTATGAAGTGGATGGTTTGGGTGCTGTTCCAATGCAATGCTTCTGGAAGTAAAGGATTTGGTGGCTCTACTGTTGCTCGGGGGATGCCTGAGTACTCACAGTACTTTTCCACTTTTGGGGGAGGTTCCATCTATGTCCCCCATTTAAAATGTTAACATAATTAGACTGTGTTGGACCAGAAATAGAGTACTTTAATAGCTTTATCTTGGCCATTTACTAGATCTTCTTTAGTGCACATGATGGACCATAAATTGAATGCACATAAGTGCTGCATTGATTGAATTTCTCTACATTCACAGACAATTTGTCCTGTATCCAAGTAGCCTCATTTTACTTGATTATTCTTTCATCTTCCTACTCACTTTGAAGTCTATATAAGTGACTTCTAGATGCTCCAGCCAGAGTCTTGTCCTGGTGGGAGACACTTTCTGCATTCATCCATTTGGCAAGGAATGTTATTTTTGCTGTCCATAGGTTTATCCTCTTATGGGCTTAACATTTAGAGCTTGAAGTGTTTGCAGAAAACTTTTCCTCAATTTTAGCTGTCATCTAGTGGGTTGGTGTCCATAAAGTGAATGGGATTCATGGTGTATTATTTTATTTCATTGATTATTTGCTGGCATCTTTCAAGTGCAATGCCAGCCAAATAATAGACTTTTTTAATGGGGGTAGATTTGTTGTTGTTGTTGTTGTTTAGTCGTTAAGTTATGTCCGACTCTTCGTGACCCCATGGACCAGAGCACACCAGGCCCTCCTGTCTTCCACTGCCTCCCGGAGTTGGGTCAAATTCACATTGGTAGCTTTGGTGACACTGTCCAACCATCTTGTCCTCTGTTGTCCCCTTCTCCTCTTGCCTTCACACTTTCCCAACATCAGGGTCTTTTCCAGGGAGTCTTCTCTTCTCATGAGATGGCCAAAGTATTGGAGCCTCAGCTTCAGGATCTGTGCTTCCAGTGAGCACTCAGGGTTGATTTCCTTCAAAATGGATAGGTTTGTTCTCTTTGCAGTCCAAGGGACTCTCAAGAGTCTCCTCCAGCACCACAATTCAAAAGCAACAATTCTTCGGCAGTCAGCCTTCTTTATGGTCCAGCTCCAGGGGTAGATTTTAGGCAACCAATAATAACTCTCTATGATTCATTAAGAACTACATCCATGTGTGTGGCATGTGCTGATTTATACCATGAAGCACTAGAATATTCTGCTGTGGAGTGGCACAGGAAAGAAGCTGTTGTTCTCGCTGTCTGTGGGTGTGCACCCCAGTCTGACCCATCCAGTTTCCTAAGTGTGTTATTTCTGGCAGCAGTTTTCTGTTTGGTGTTTAAACAATGTTTTTGTAGGTCCGGGTTTGATCCAGATTGACATCCAAGTACTTTGAAGTAGGGCAATGTCCCAAAATCTCATCTTCCCAGCTAACTCAGAGCTTTCTCTGCTTCTCCAAGTGAAAGGCACAGTGTTTTTAAAGGGTTTGGCTTCAGCTGGTTGCTTTTATAATATAAGGGAAAATCTAATGCAGAGGTTAGCTGGTGTTCAGTGGCCTCAAAGGTTTCCCTCGGACTGTCAAGGCAAGATCATCAGCATAGTTGAAACTCCTGAAGTATGGGTACATCAGTTGATCATTTGTGTTAAAATGTAATGGTGCCAGGATGCTATCCTTTGTGACATCATTCCTTTGATTTATCCAGCAATTATGGTGCTCTTGAAATTCAACAAAAAATCTGGTTTCGAAGTAGAACAGCAACCATTTCTGTTAGTCTACAATTTTTAGGAAGGAGGTAGAGCTTTTTGATGATGGACAGTATCATATGCCACTGTAAGGTTGACAAATGCTGTTCCATTTGGAGAACATAAAAGAAGCCTCCTCAAAGAGTGGAAATCATTGGGAGCATACTTGGCAACAGTATGCAGCCAGCTAATCCTTCCTATCAATAAGTGTTGAACTGCAAAGTTACATTTAGAAAAAGGAAATATTGGATATGTTGCAAAGTGTGAGATTGTGGTAAACTTTTTTTTTTTTGCTACACAGTAGAAGTGCAGTGATCCACAGAGGAGAATAGCCACAAGCTCCCCAGAATCTATCCCTTTCTCATGAACTAGCACATATACTCTCGATGACTCATTCTGAGACATTTATAGAAGAATTAAAAATATTTCTCTTCTTACAGTTACTTGAAATTACAGACTTGTGCATACCACTTTCTTTACTGCACATATACTAGCAACAAACCAAATAGATCAACAGCCCCTTGTGAACATTCTACAAGACCTTTGGCAGACAAAGTCACTCAAAGCTACTCATTTGGATGCTGCAGTTTGTTCTCTGCTTGTCCAGAGATAAGGGATACTTTTCCATTTGTACAGCTCGAAATTGTGGATATAACCCTTGGAGAGGTGAAGCCATCACATGTATATTGAGTTACTAGTTCTCCTCTATTCAGCAGTAGTTAGGCCGCGTCTTGAGTACTGTGTCCAGTTCTGGACACAATAATTCAAGAAGGATGCTGACAAACTGGAACAAGTTCAGAGGAGGGCAACAAGGATGATTAGGGGACTGGAAACAAAGCTCTGTAAAGAAAGACTGAAAGAACTGGGCATGTTTAGCCTTGAGAAAAGAAGACTGGGGGGAGATATGACAGTACTTTTCAAATACTTGAAAGGCTGTCATACAGAGGAGGGATGGGATCTGTTTTTTATCATCCCAGAGTGCAGGACAATCAATAATGGGCTCAAGTTACAGGAAACCAGATGTCGGTTGAATATCAGGAAAAAGTTCCTAACTGTTAGAGCAGCATGGCAATGGAACCAATTACTTTGGGAGGTGATGTGTGCTCCACACTGGAGGCATTCAAGAGAAATTTAGACAGCCACCTGGAAGATATCCTTTGGTTTGTATTCCTGCTTTGAGCAAGAAGTTGGACTCAATGGCCTTATAGGCCCCTTCCAGCTTCTTCTATTGGCCTTATAGGCCCCTTCCAGCTTCTTCTTTTTTTTAAATGTATTTTTTATTTTTTAAAACTAGGGATAAGATAAGGAGTACAAAAGGTAGAGGGGGATATGGGGGAGAGAAAGAGGGGGTAAGGAGAACACAAAAGGTACTGTCATCCAATCTGTTTGTTCATGTTGCGATATCAAGTTAACTTTTCATCTTTCTACAATTTGATTGCCCTCCAGGTTTCAATTTACAGTTACATCTTAGTTTAATTCTATGCTATTCAAGCACTATCTGGTGACTCAAGCCATTTGTATAATAAATCCCATTGTTCAGTTGTCTTTTGTATTGGACAGTCTTTCAAACACTTCTGATACAATATCCATTTCTGCCGCTTCCCATATTTTCTCAATAAGTTGCTCTTGTTTTGGCATCTCCGATTTCTTCAAGTTCTTAACATAAAGAATTCTGGCTGCAGTGACTATACATATAACTTCCGTTCCACTGAAATCGCTGTTTAGCGAAATCATTGTCTAGCGAAAAGCTTTTCCCCATTGGAATGCATTGAAACCTGTTTAATGTGTTTCAATGGGGAAGAATCGTCATTATCTAGCGAAGATTGGCCATAGGAAAGCCGCTTTGCGAATCGCCGATCAGCTGTTTAAATCGCTGTCTTGCGATGCTTAGGTCCTGAAAACGCCTGTTTGTGAGCGCAGAGGGAGCTGTCAAAATCGTCGTCTAGCGAAAATCATTTTGTGAAGCAGCGACCAAACCCTGTCCAGCGAAATTCCCCCATAGGAATCACTGTTTTGCGAATTGCTATACAGTAGCGATCGCAAAAAGCCAATGTCTAGTGAAAAAAACTGTCATGCGGGGTAACTGTCTAGCGAGGCACCACTGTAATTGTCTTTAAATAATGTACTAGTTTTCTTTATGATTTGGATCCTTAAGTATCTGACTCTCTTCTCTCCTTGAAAGTTAGTCTTTCTATTAATTTCTGTTGTTCTTGATCTCTCATATTTTTAACAAGTATTTCTGTTTTCTTTTTGTTTATTTTCATTCCTGCCACGTCACCAGAATTCATCAGCATTTCCATCAGGTCTTCAATTGAGTCCATTGGATCCTCCAATATAATAACTAGATCATCTGCAAAAGCTTGGAGCTTAAAAGTATGACCT